TGGAGCAATGGCTCAGTGGTTAAAAGCACTGGCAGCTCTTACACAGCAACAAGTTTGATTCCAGCACCCACAATGCAGCTTACAACTATCTACAACTCCAATTCTAGAGGATGTGATACCCAATTCCAGCCTCTGTGAATATTCCATGCACATGGAGCACAGACATGCATATAGGCAAAACACACATATACATAAAATAAAACTACACTAAGTAAAAAGAAAACCCTCCAAGTATTGCCAAATATGTCCTGGAGTGCAAACTATCCCTGGTGAGATCAACGAGTGGAAGTTTACCTCTAAGAAACAAAGGGGAAGAAAGAAAGTATAATTTTCCATGGAAATAAGAGATGAGATGCTGGGGAATGGAGTGAACAAAACATCAGACAGCTCTTAGATATCAGCAAGCTCTGAGGATTAGAGAAAATGAAATACTGAGACGTGGAGCTGGTGAAATAAGTACACCACCTGCTGCAAAGCCTGACCACTAGCCCAATCCCTAGCAGCCACTCTGGAAGGAGAGAACCAACTCCTACAAGTTGTCTTCTGACCTCTACGTGGGTACCCATACTCATCCCTACCCTCCCCCCATAAAAATAATACAAAAATTATACTAATCTTTTAAAAGTTTAAACCACTGGAAGAGTTCTAGAAAAGGTTTTACAAGAATAAGGGGATCCAAGTGTGGTACACACCCATAATCCAAGTACTTGGGAGGTAGAGGCAAAAGGATCATAAGTTCAAAGTCATCCTCAGCATCCTCAACTATGTGGGAAGATCAAGAATACAGGATAGCAACCCAAAACCACACAGCAAATAGAAAAAAAGGGGAGAGGCGGGAAAGAGAGGCCATGGGACAGATCTGAGTGTGGTGGGGCACAGCCGCAGTGCTAGCTAGTATCTGGGACGCAGAGGTAGGAAGATCACCGAAGGTTCGAAAGCTATATATCAAGAATCTGTTTCAAAATAGAAACACACACACACAGTAGGAGGGAAGAAAAATACAGATTGAGAATGGGGACAGAGGTGGGGGTAAAAGGCTTGCCCTAGCATGCTGGAAGCCGGGGTTTGAATCCTAACACCACAAACACACAAATAAAATAAAGATACTAAAATGAGACAAGCATGGTGGCACACTCCTATTAATACCAACATTTGGGAGACAGATACAAGCAGATCTCTATAAGTTCAAGGCCACTCTGGCCTACACAGCAAGTTCCAGGCCAGCCAGGGCTACACTATGAGACTACCTCAAACAAAGCAAACAAAAGCCTCAGTTTGGAGTAAAGCTGCCCTGACAGAAAATTCTCTGCTGCTGGAAAGTGAAAACACAATTCTAGCACTCAGGAAACTGAAGCAGGAAAATTGTTCCAAGTTCAAGGCTGGCCTGGGCTGCATGGAAAGAGCAAACAACAGCGAAAGCCATCAAGTATAAGAATATAAGGAGGCTGGGTGTGGTGGCATATGCCTTTAATCCCAGCGTGAGAAGGCAGGGCCAGCCAGGGCTATAAAGTGAGGCCTATGCATGCTCTCAAAAAACAAAAGGGTTGGGAAAAGGGATACAGTGGCACAGCTGAGACACCAGTAATTCAGAAGAGGAGGCATGACGATGTGGAGCCATCCAGTTTGGGCTATATACAACAACAACAACAAAACCTGTCATCTCCTCAAAAAGTGAGAGCTAGGGAGATGGCTTTGGAGTTAAGAGCACTTACTGCTCCTGCAGAGGAGGATCTGGGTTCAGTTCTCAGCACCTACATCAGTTAGCTTACAACCACCTCTAACTCCAGTTCTAAGAAATCTGGTACCCTCTTTCTCTGCATAGACATGGTACACATAAACACATGCAGGCACACACTAACACACGTAAGTAAAAATAAACAAGTCAATCTTTTTTTTTTTAAGGGTGCGTGAGATGGCTCAGTGGTAAAAACACTCATCACACAAGCATAAGGGCCTGAGTTTGATTCCCAAGAATCCATATAAAAGCTGGACACACAAAAAGAGCCCCTGTCATCCCGGCATTCGTACCTACAGAAGGCAGGGAGGTAAAGAATCCCTCAGAGTGCAGGGCCAGCTAGTTGCCATATGCAGGGGAAACAGAAGACAGACAGGGTGGAAAACAAGGTGGAAAGCGAGGACTAACAATAGGGGACTGGGGGAGGCTGGAACTTTGACCTGGATATTATTGGCAAAAGTTTGTAATCCCAGAACTCAGGAGGACAGTTAAGAGTTCTAGGCCAGCCTGGGCTAAAGGGGGAGGAGGGGTGGAGAGAAAGAGTGTGAATTAGCTGTTACTTGTATTGTTAGCTTTGTTTCAAATTTCTCTGATTACAAGACTCTGTGGCACAAGCCTATAATCCCAGCAGTTAGTAGACACAGGAGCATCAAGAGTTCAAGGTCATCCTCCCTCACAAAGTTTGGAGGTCAGTCAGGGCTACAAGAAAGTCAGTCTCAAAAACACACACACACAAAGTTATTTTGATGAAACAGAACACACAGCTCCTACCTGATATGCGTTATCTGTTAACGTGCTCAGGATACTGCTCTCCCTGTGTGTGCATGACCCGGGTTGAAAGAGCAGAGTGGTGGAGCTAGGTTACAACATAAAAGGAGCTGAGTGCAGTGGCTCACATCTCTAACTCAGCACCAGAGAGACCAAGGCAGGATGACTGCCTCAAGTTCCAGGCCAGCCTTGGTCTCCAAAACTACAAACACCATGAAGTAAAGGACAGAGACAGCAAGTGCAGCACAGCAAAAAGGCTGCCTGATGGAGTGCTGGCCTAGAATGCACAAGGCCCTGGGTTCCACGTGGGAGAGAAGGGGAGGGGAATGTGTGGACTGAATCTGAGGTGCTGCTGCCAAGGGGGATGGGTTCCTAAGAAGCAAACTGACAGCAAGCTGCTTATCCTACCCTAACAGTAAACTTTCCTGCTGGTTCTTATCTAAGTTGAGAACTGATTAAAATACAGGAAGCTGTCCTTAACTCACCATCTAGGGGATAGAGAGACCTCGGAGTGTCTACTCAGATCCCAGAGCATATTTGCAAAGAACTCTATTTTTCACTCACTAAAATGGTGGAGAGCCTATACACGGTTTTATCTGTCCTTTGTACAGATGACCAGCTGGGGAAGGGAGGGAAAGCATGCTAAGTTTTAAATAGCTCCTGAGTGTCCGGGGGAGGATAGTTCCTCTCAACTCCGTTCAAGATCTTTTAAGGGAAGGCAGAATGCCTCCGTGAATGCAAAAGAAAAGAATCCATCCTACATAGAACTTACCAAGAGGAAGAAGTTATTAATACTCTCCCGAAATATACAAGTTATGCTCCACACTTTAAGTTCCTTCATCCCAACCCGTGCCTTCAAACACCTTATCCCAGCCTGAGCAAAAAGGCAACAGTTACCAAGCATTCAAAGCTTATCATCTGTCAGCTGGGGCAAAATCTCTGGGAATACTAGTAAATGTCATCACTGCAGGTCGCCAGGCATCAGGCAACTGCAGCCAGCCACAGCCCGGGAGTGCCAAGCCTTCCCAAAATAGCTATGACTATACACAATGCTCATCAAACACCTCACATACAAACCCTCAAATAAGGAGTGCTGAAATAGGGGTCACTACTCAGACTGTGGCAGAGGTAAATGAAGATGCCACTGATTAAAAGCCATGCGGTCTTAAATGACTGACGGAGTCCGGAACAAATTTAAATATGACTTGCTCTCCCTTAAAATAGTATCAATATGACTGTCTCAAAACCAAATCTCACCACCTGTTTTTAAGCCACTGTCCCCAAAACAAGTAGACTTATTCACTGCAAAATCAAACAAACAAAAAAAAAACCCAGAAAAATATGAACCCCAGTAACCAAAAAGACAGCAGTGAATATCTAGCAATACAATTTTATCTGATCACAGAAAAACCAGCCACCTACTTTCATTTCCCAGCCCAAATCTTAAAGATATCTTTTTTTCTGCATGAATTTTAAAGAGCCTTCTACATTTTAAACTCCTTGTCTGGGAGTGTAGTTCTTGCCCACTCCATGTGATAGGCCCCAGGCTTGACCTCCATCACGTTAAATTAGTTAAATTAAAACTAAGATATAAGGGGTTTCTTAGCAGTCACCGACTTTCGTATTCTAAATAGTCTATGAATTTTCTCGCTTGAAAGCACAGTATTTAAATACTTGGTACAGATTTCCCATTCTGTCTTTTAAAAGTGCAGTTCCTGAGGGATGAGGATATAGTGTTACTTTGTAACACAATATGAAATTGCCCACCTCCCGAGTTTCAAGAAACATTATTATATTAGTCTTTCAATGTTCTCCAAACCAGTGTTTTTGAACTCTCACCATCTTAGCCAAAAGGCCCCCGTAACGTTTTTCAACCTTCTTAAATATTAGGAACCTAATAGGTGTGCCTTTTTATTCATTGTGCTGTTCCTCTCCGCCTCCTTCAAAATCTAGTGATCAATGAGATAATAGGGGGAGCTGATTTGTTTCCAAAAGAAAAGGAAGGAATGAACGGAAAGCGGGGCGGGAAGAGGGAGGAATGAGGCTCCAGGTCTTTTTTGCACTTTGTTGATAAACGCCGGCTTTAAGTGAGATAACTTGAGTCCGCTTAAGCCTCTTGGAAGCCACAGTCATAAAACTGATTGAGAATCAGAATCAGGCATTGCGGCAGAGCTTTTCGGAAGTTTGTAGCTGCTGGGTCTGGCCGGGCGCACACTTCGGGGTGACCCCGATGCCCAAGACCTCATGTGCAACCCCTCCCGGTAGGGTCCCCAGCAGCGGGTCCCGCACCGGGTCCCACCTGGAACCTGAGCTGGTACACACATCCAGGTAACCTCACACCGGCGCGCGACCCCAGCCTCGCAAGTCTCCGGCGGCCCGAGGGGGGTGCTCCCGCCCTCACCCCACAGGCCCCGGCCTCCGCCGGCTCGCGCCCGCTTGGCCCGCCGCGCCCCTCTCGGCCGGAGCTCGGGCCCCGTTACCCTCACCCGCCGCTCACCGAGCCATGGCCGTCCGCCGCCCCAGCCGCGTCGTCCTGCTGCAGCTCCGCAGTCATGGCCGAGGCGCCCCTCTGTGCGTAGCCCCACTCTCGTCGTTCGTCGTCGCCGCGGCCGCCACCGCCGCCCCCGAAGCCCGGGAGCACCGGGAGGCACCGCCCACACGTCCCGCCCCCGCCCCAGGCGCGCTAGAGGCCCCGCCCACACCAGCCCGCCGCCAACACTCCCCCCACCCCCCACGCAGCACGCGGCCGAGGCTCCGCCCACGACGCGCGCAGGAGGACGTCTTCCCCACCCCCCGTCCGCTGGCTCCCACCCCTCCTGCCGCTTGTGCCGGTGGCCCCGCCCACACGCTCCACCCTCACACCCGTGGTCCCCCTGAGGCCCCGCCCACACCGCGTGCTCACGCCCGCAGCGCGCCGGAGGCCTCACCCACACGCCCGCCCACCCTCTTCCGTTTGCGTGAGCTCAGGACGGAGCGTCTCCGCGTGCTCCGGCCCACGTGACCGCAGCCGGGCACTGAGTAGCGGGTCAGCGTGGCGGAGCCCGCGGTTGCCATTTCCGTATTTGGTGCCCAGGAAGTGGGTGACGAGGTAGGTCTCCGAGACTCCTTCTTTCTCCATCCTTCACTGATTGATCCTTGCATCTGCGTCCGGCCCGGCCCCAGGTCCCCATAGGCTCTGTGAGGGTGCTGGGTTCCTTGTGCTGACAGACTTTTCAAACCAGGCTTTCTAGCCATTTCTTAGTTTGGGGACGCGAAGGGAGACCTAGGCTGACTCCAGTGATTTCTGCAAAGACAACCGAGCGGGCCAAATGACTCGTAGAGCTCAGCATGGTGTCCTTAATCCTAAATAGAGTGGCCAAATGTTCTAATTTTCCGTTTTCCCTGTATGTGTTGAGCCTACTGCACTAAGCCACATCCCCGCCCATCTTAATGTTTAGAAGGAGGGTTTTATCGGTGGTGGTTTAGGCTTGGAATTTTGAGACAGGGTCTCACGAGGCTAATACTAGCCTCTGTAGTGGCCAAGGCTGGCCTTGAACTCTTGATCCTTTGTCTCCACCTGGTTTATGATGTTAAGTCTATCATGCTTAGCAATGTTTTACTTTGAGACCATCTCATTAAGTTGCCCCCACTGGCTTTGAACGTTCTGTGCTTCTGCCTTAGCCTCCTATGTGACTGGGCAATGGGACCTTTGTTTACAGGTACATCGTTAGGACTTTCTGAGGAATAGAACCATTAGACTTTATAAAATTATTAAGGGATTAGTTAGGTTGACTTACACGATCAAAGATGGGGTGCTTCAAGTGTCTGCACACGATGGAGAACCAAATAAAAATGCAGTAGGTGCCTTAACAATTGTAAACCATCTTATATGGTTGCTGGGACTCAAACCCAGGGCCTCTGCAACAGCAGTATGTGCTTTTAACCACAGAGTCATCTCTCCAGCCCCCGAGGTGGAGCCACAGTTAGGTATTCATGCACCTTTCGGAAATCCTGTCAAAGATCAGCGAGTCACTGTTTTGAAGCGATTTCCTCCAAATTAAACCTACTTTGGAGGTGGCTCCTTAAGTTCAGGAAGTAAACAACTCAAAGGTTTCAGGTCGCTTCAAAAGCGATCTGAAATTGACCAGATCCACTAGGTCCCTTGTAGCACCAATAACAAAAAACCCAGAGACAGAAATTGGGGTTCAACCCCAAAACCAGAATAGCAAAGCAACCAAGTCACTAGAGAAGTCTGATCTCTTCCAAGGCTGGGCGACCGTAAACTAGGCAAAGCCTCTCTCTCCTTCATTTTATATTCCCTCTAGTGCTGGAATTAAAGGTGTATAATTCCCTAGGACTGGGATTAAACAAATCCCCCTCTTGGATTTGTTCCTGCACAGCCCAGGGTGGCCTTGAACTCACAGAGATCCACCTGACTCCCAAATCCTAGGATTAAAGGTATGTGTCCCCATTGCCTGACCTCTAGTGACTTTAGCTTTGCCTCTGGTCTTCGGGCAAGATTTACTTATTGAAATACAAACAATATATCACTACAGTTCCTCCCTCCCCAAGCATATAAAAACAGTAAGAACTACTAAGAGGTGCTCTCAGATAAACTGAACAGCCTAGAAGAGGCTCGGTTACCTGGAAAGAGACCCACTCCAACTGTCTGGCTGCCTGCAATTTGTGTGGTGTTTAAGGTTTCCAGCTTTATTGAAGGGTCTCCCACGTTGGCATGGGCTTTATTTGTGAGTTATTTCTGCTCCTATAAGTGTCCCTCACCAACACTTCTCTAAGTAGCCCCAATAAAACTCATTGGTTTGCCAAGTTGGACTTGGCTATTCTTACTTTGATCTGTCATCAGTTCTCTATCTGGCGTGAGGAGATATTCTTATTTCCCTAGGAACAGTGTCACACAATATCACTGAAAGAATGATAAGACATGAAATTAGGAGGAAGCCTTGTTGTAAAGTGCGAGTGGGATAAGAGAGGATAAAAGGTGACTATGGTTAAAACACAGAATATACATGCATTAGAGGTGGAACATAATGGCCCATGCTTTTAATCCTAGCACTCAGGAGGCAAAGGCAAATGGATCCTTATGAGTACAAGGCCAGACTGGTCTATATAGTGAGCTCCAGAACAGCCAGAGTTACACAGTGAGACTCTTGTCTCCAAAACCAAAAACGGGAGTTGGGGAGTTGAGAATGAAAGGAGGCCTGGATGTGGTGGTGCATACTAATATCCCAGCACTTGGGAGACTGAGGCAAGAGAATTGATGGGAGTTTGAGACAAGACTAAGGCTAACTGTATAGTGAGTCCAGGCTAGCCTGGGATAAACAAAAGCCTATCTCCATAAAGAATGGACAAAGGGCAGCAAGCAAGAAAGATAGACTCCGGAGTTCAAAGGTGTCTGTGGACTAAGTTGTTCTTAGGAGAATGTGTCACTATGATTTCTAGGCTGGCGTTCCTCTCTTACTCCTACTGCTCCAGCCTCCCATTGCTGAGATCACAGGCCTGTGCCATCGGCCTGGCAGGAACAGGCTTTTGTTGGAGAAAAATATACACCCTTAGATTGGAAAAATACATCATCACATTCAGAATTGAGCACATTCCTGGGAATGCTCAGATTGAACTCATATAACCTATTCAAAACAACGGCAGAGGTCTGGGGACATGGCTCAGTTGTGGAGAGGCTCTTGCTGCCAAGCCTGAGGAAGCGAGTTAGAGTCCCAAGACTCTCATGATGGAAGGCCACTGACCCCTGCAAGCTGTCCTCTGAGATCCAGACACTTGCTGTGGCACACAGCACATAATCACACACACTCCTCAAAAAATGAATAGATGTGATAATAACAATTCTATGTGTCTCTCTCTCTCTCTCCCTCCCTCCCTCCCTCTTCCTCTCCCTCTCCCTCTCCCTCTCTCTCTCTCTCTCTCTCTCTCTCTCTCTCACACACACACACACACGTGAGAGCACACACACAACACACACACTCAGGCAGACAGGAAAGCCTCTGGGTGGAGAATTTCGTATTATAATGTGCAAAGTTTATCTTAGGACTCATAAAACGAGTAAATCCAAATGAACCAGCTATTTTTAGTTGGCTCCTTGTTTCTCGGGAGGCTGTTATCTGAAATAACAATGACAGTTTTGAAGGTTCCATAAGCAGCCCTTTACTGGGGCAGCAGTCTTTCCTCTCCCTATACCCTACCTCTGAAGCATGGGTGTTTACCCCTAAAAGTATCTGCCTAGAGGCTAACAAAGGCTCCAGAGATCAACCACAGTTTTGAAAAGAAAATCAAAACAGAAACCAAAGTTCTACAAAGGGTGTGTGTAGCTTTACTCAGAAACAGCAGGTTGCAGTCACAGTATGACTATTGGTTGGAACTCTTATAGAAAAGCATCCAGGCTTCTCTGGCTTTAGAAACTGTGAACCAAGATTTCAAAACAGACACACTGAGTGAGGGAAGGAATGGAAGCCAATAAGAAAGACAGATAACTAGAAACCAGACCACCTGTGCCAGAAGACGGTGGAGAATGGCTGGCTGGTGCCATCACCCTGCGATCCCAGTACTCAGGATGCAGAGGCATGAGGATTACTGCAAATTTGAAGCTGGTGTGGGTGGGCTACTTAAACTAAGTCATCCTTTATTAAGACCCTGCTTCAAAAAAGAAGGAAAGGGAATGGAAAAGAGTGCATATATGAATCTCAATAACTACTAAATAAAAAGGCAAAACCTATAAGTAATAATAAGTAATATTATTACTAATAAGTAATGAAGATAGAAATGTAAAATCAAAGGCAGAAGTTTCAGAATATAGCTCCTTTAGCAGGGGCCTTACCTAGCAGGTGGGAAGTCCTAGCCTTGATTCTTAGCACAATATAAACAAGGCAGAGGTACACTGGAATGTTTGCTTAGTATGCAGATGCCCTGGATTCAAACTCCAGCATCTCCTACAGGGGGCATGATGGTGTGCTTTGCCTGATCAGAAGTTCAAGGTCATCCTCAGTTGTGTTTGAGTTTGAGGTCAACCTATCTAAAAAAACAAATAAAGCAAAGCAAAAAAGGAAGAAGGAACAAAAGCAGTAAGTAGCAAGCTGGGCTGGGCTGTGGTGGTGTACACCTTTAATTACAGCACCTGGGGGGTAGATTCAGGCAGATCTTTGTGAGTTTGAGGCCAGCCTGGTCTGCAGAGAGTTCTAGGACAGCCAGGGGTACACAGGGAAATCTCGTCGTAGAAAACAAAACAGAACAAAACAAACAAACCAAATGGGAAGCAGATAATAAGATGAGAGATCTGAATTTGTTAATGTCAATGATTACTTTAAATATTAATGACTCAAACATTCTAATTAAAAGGAAGATCTTACCGAATTGGCATTTAAAGAGCAAGCACTTAACCATTTTCTGCTGGGAAATTGACTTCTGTGCACAGCTATTTCACTGGTGAGGTCCCTGTTCTCAGTTTTATTTACCTTTGAGTACCTTGAACACTCTCTGAATTCACACATAGATTTAATTTTTGGTTAATCGTTTTCTGTTTTTCCTTATTTTTTTCTCAGAGCTTTAATCAAGATAAGCCAGGACACTCAAGGTCTTTTAAAGA